GGACCTAGGATGTATGAACCGACTACGAGAAAGAGGAGTCAGGCACCTCCGGCGCAAAACAAACTGTGAGCATTGATGTGCACATTTGTTTTCTTGAATTTTCTATGTCTTCCTACCATGAATAAGTTTGCATGACATTGAGGTAGTTAAATATTTTAGTTATGGGAAGCCTCATGAGAGAACTTCACAAGCCAATTCAAGTAGAGTTTTCATACCTGAAACAAATGCAGACACTGTATCAGTTCCTGCTAGTAAACCAAGCTTGGGTTCTGCTTCTCCACCCTTTTATCCATCCGGGTCTTCCAACAAATACATTACTTCGACTCAGAAGAAGGACATGCAAGCTGGAAACATAAGCAGGAAATTTCACCCTTCTGTTACAGATGAGAATTTTTCTGTGTTACAATCCAATTCATTACAAGGGAAGAATGTACTTGATTCTCTCAGCATGGCCAAGCTTTATATAGATGATTCCAGCATGTCGGCTTCTGTGAAGTTTTCAACCAATGTGCAATTGGGTAATACTGGTCAACTCTCTCATTACCGGGTACAAGGGAAAGGTGTAGCTATCCCAGGAAAGAAGGCCTATCAGCTAGCTCCTCATCAGAACCAAGTAAACCCTCAACCAACACAGGTGAATTCTGTTCAGAGAAGTCCTGTTCAAGGCAGGGCTCTCTCTTCTGTACAAGCAACTGCTCAACAGTTGGGCCAGCATCCTGGTATTGGTTCTCAAGCTTCCTCTCCTCCAAAAACAGCCATGCCAGTCAGTTCCTATGAATCTGGGGAGGTTGAATCATCAGAAACAAATAAATCCAAGGGTGCATTGGTGAGCAAGGGAAAAAGCAGTGCACAAGGAGCTGGAAGGAGCTCTTTTCTTTATGGTGGAGCTCAGATTATGGGAGCTACTGGGAGTCCTGCCTTTCTGCCGGGTAAACCTTTTATATTTGTAGTTCTTTAATAATTTGTCTAGATAACAGTATCTACTGTAAAAGTAAAATGTAGAAGGGGGAAATTGCCTTATCTGGAACTGTGCACAGTAAATACTTTGGCCCATTTTTGTGTGAATTTTTGCAAGAATTACATTAAATGTTTTAGGTGATATTAGATCTAGTTTTCATCTGACTATAGATAAGACATCAGATCGAGTTTTTATTCCTGGGATGCAGGTTTTCTTTGGGATGTGCTTTTTCCTGGGTTGGCTAGAGGTTGGATCTCATTTGGGTTTTTTTGTCCTCAAAATACTATGGGATGTTAGGGAATAGCTTTTATCTACCAGGTTGCTTAGATTGAGTTCTATTGTTCTGCATATCCTGTTCAATATTTCTATTATTCCCTAATTCTTGCTATTGAACCTTTTATAAGCTCAATTTTATGCTTTTTCCCCCTTGAATGATTGACATGCAGGGGGGCCAGCACCCTGGTGGTCTTAGTGTTCCGCTATTGGCATGGCATTTCCTGGATATGTTGCCCAGCCGCAACTTGGTAGGGGAAATTCTGAAATTACATGGTATAATAATTATTTCCCTGTATTTTATTTCTCCTGTGGACTGTATCTGTTTCCCATTGAGAAATGAAGATGATCTTATTTCGTCTCCCCATTTGACTACCAATGCAATGCTTATTCCCTTGGTCACATATCCCCATTTGACATAGTATGAGTCATTTTTTAAGACCCCCACAGTTCTTTTCATGGCTACGCTCCATTTGCAACAGATTTGGCTGTAGTGAACGAGTAATGTAAGAATTTCTTAGAGCATGGAAAATTATTTGACTACCAATGCAATGCTAATTCCCTTGGTCACATATCCTTAATTATTGTATTCTGATAAATTTATCTGTCTGGGCCAAAAGCATATTAATGAATGTTCAATGTTCATGTTTAGGCTGCTAGTATTGACGGGTGCTGCTGGGGCTTTAGGGGCAACATATTGTCCATCTTATATTGCAGTTGATGGGTCTTATCATGCTCGTCCATCAGGACAGATATCTTCAACCGGATTCTCAAGTTTTTTTTAGCATGGTTCTGGTCGCCTCAACCTGCTTGTTTTTAACTGCATTGATTGCCATTCTTTTCCTTCTGCCTTCCCAACTGGAAAGATTACATTAACTTCAAATTTAGCTGGTAACTGGAAGCCCTCCAAGAGAACTGGTAAGCCATGATCTTGCCTTTATCTTAGATTTCTGAACATAGACCTTTCCTGTTTCTTATATTCTGGTAGTTAAACAAGTTTCCTATGCAGAGCTTGTGAGTGATGAATTTGGGCAACGGCAACCCAAATAAGCATCCTCGCAGGCAAGTTGAAAATCTTAAGGTCTTTCTGTGGATGGGTGGAATTTTTTTTTCAGTGTCTATCATCTATTATATGTAAGCCACTTGAATTGTATTGTCATTCATTTCCATGTAGATATTCGGAAATGAGCTTTAGCAAGTGATGTACTTATTAAAGATGGAGCCCGTCCCAATGAAAACTGATGATGGTCAAAATTTCCAAAGTTCTTATTATCTTTGTGGATGTTTCGTATTCTTATTTGTTGATTACTTGGTGGTGCAGGCCCTTCTTCCTGGCCCTTTGTGATCTTCAGATTTTGACCTGGAACACTTTGGGCTGCAACTTGTTCCGGGATAGTGTAGGTAAATCATGTTTCATCCCTAATAAATGCTCTCACTATTATGATTGGGATCTATAATCTTCTGTTCTTTTAGAAGAAAGTTAGTAATCATTTCTCCTTTGGAAGTTGTTTGATGTCCAAGAAAAGCATAAATAAGTATGTAGTTTACATGTCTGCGCTTCCCCTCCTTTCCCCCAATAAGAGATTGAATATTTCTTGTCACTTCTGGCACATATGAAAAGGTTAGAATTAAGCAATAACATAATCTATGTAGTTTAACGTTGGTGCCATTTGAGAGACTATTTCATTGATTTAACATGGCCCTGTTTCATTTTGCCAGTATTGAAGTTATTTTTCTTTCTAGGCATTTGTGCTTAAATGAGTTCTGAGTCGGTATATTATGTGCAGTAATTATCTTCTCCCATTAATTGGAGGTGTCCTGGTTCATCCATTCTAAACTTATCTTGCTCTCTTTCTTCCAATTTTGTTCTAGCAGTTGCAAGTGAAAAACGCCTGCTTAAGCTGCATTCAGTTGAAGAATATTATTGTGGCTGACGGGTAGCAATCCCTTGTTTAAATTTGCGGTACCGATACACATTTAGAGAAAGTGATACATTTCTCGCATTCTGGCTTGCTCTGCAAAAATTCCTGAAACTGCTATTATAGTTTCTTGCAGGTTTTTCTTATGGCTTGATTTTCTAATGGAGCTTGTGAGAAGTTTTGGTTGGGGTTCTCCATTATTGCGCAGCAGTTGTATTGTTGATGAACTTTATTTATTTTATTATATTTTTATTTGCACAGATGGTGTCATTACCTCTCTTTGGTGAAAGCATACTTGTCTGGTTGATGGGTTGAGCTTGGTTTTGAGAGTGTATAACGTCAATGTTTGAGATATTGCAGACAAGTATGCAGAGTTGGGACTCTGGTCATGCCCAGTGGATTCTTCAACTTTATCAGTGCATTAGGTGAATGGTGATCGAGTGTTTTTTTTCTTCTTCTTTTGATGTTTTAAGTTGATTTAAATCCCATATCTACTAGGTTCATATTTTTGTTTAAGAATGTGAAGTGAATTAAAATTTAAGAACTGGGGTTAAACAATGTATCAGATTAAAACTGGTGCAAGGTAGGCAGGAAGATAATTAACAAAGTGTTGCTGGTTTAAATAACATTTTGCATTCTAGTAGACGTGAGGTAATAGATAGTTGAACAGCTCAGCTACTTGCATTTAGTAAATGACAATTCATTTACTTATTTTAAAAAAAAATGTTAGAGTTATCTGTTGGCCCATCCACCTTAGTTGGTAGAGCGCAAGGTTCTTAATTGCCATTTTATTATATTAAAACTATTTATATTTTTCTTTTGCTTTTTAAAACTTTTTAGATTGACAGTTAATTGCCATTTTATGATTGAAAAATGAATAAATGAATCTAGTGGGATCAGTAGTCTGGTGAGCCTTCGTTGATCAAAGCAGTTTCAAACCTTCTTTTAAAAATCCAACGGCCATAATTTTCACATTAATCATGATGGTTCATTTAGCAAATAAAAATGCTAAAAGTGGAGCTCTGTTTATTCCACGTGTTCTCATAATAATTGCCCTTCATAACTTTAACCACCGTTCGATTTATATAAACAACATCTCTGACTGTGATCTGACGATCCAGTGGACAACAGAGCACACGGAATTTCTGGTACAGCTGTTTACATTAAAACCCACCCAAAGTTCACACGTGCTTAATCGCACGTGCGATCCGTTCAAAAGACAGAAACGCTTCGGACATCTCTCTCTACGGGATTTTGTATTTTTGTTAATTTTCTTAACTATACGTTTCTCTCTCGCCCTTTATTTGCAACTTTATTGTTTAGTGTAAACTAAGAAGTCAGATCAATCAATTATGGACATCAGAAATGAGAAAATGTAGTGATTTCTTCACTTTCTTTCGACTCTCTTTTAGTGTAAACTAACCGCTAGCTGCTTTTCATGTTTAGATTTTTTTCTTACATATTTTTTCTCTTAAAGTTTCAGTGCTTTGTTTTTACTGCTCTTAGGTTCCCGCAGGTGTAAATGTTAATAGTTTGATTCTAGCTTTAGTTGTCGGCGCTAAGTCAATTTTCTTTTTTATTCTTTGCCAAGTTAGTTAGAAACGCTAAGATGGGTTTGGTTGTCGAGAGAAAGAAAATGTGGTATGAAATTTGAAATATTCTGATTGGTTCTAGGAAACTACTAGGCAATGAGCGTAAACAGAAAGCTGAATGTAGTTTTTGTCTACGCATTGTTTCCTAGTAAACAGATAAATCGACTTTTCTTTTATGACGTTTTAATTTTTCATGAACTTTGAACACTCTGAATTGCTTTCTGGTTGATCAGTTTCTTGATTTTATTGCCCAAAGATTGCTCTTGACTTGGAAATCTCTGATCATTGAAAGAATCTAGTTCGAAAATTGGAAAATTTGAGGTTTCTTTGGAACATCCGGATATATTTTAAAAAAAATCAACTTAGTTCTTTATCAGTTGAATCGTTAGTTTCTGATGAATGCAGAAACCAAATGGAAATTGAGATCTCGCTTCTCAACGTTTCATTAGTCTGAAATATAAAACATATTTTTTTGATAGCTTTAATTTGTTCGAATAAGCTCAGGTTTTTGTTTGTTTTCACTTATTTGTTTTTTTACCTATGCCAACCATATTTTCTTTACTTTTTTTGCATTATATATTATTCTGTTGTTTGACAAACACAAAATCTTTATTTTCCTCGTTGATGTCGGTTTGGAGTTTAGAAAACCTGTAGAACGAGGTACATGTAAGCATTTCGGAGCTAGAAGAACGGGAGTGGATCTTTAAGTGCTACTTGTTTCTTATTTTCTAAAATATGAAGAATGTTGATTTAGTTTGACAGAAGTAACTATAGCCAGATGCTAATGGAGGAAAGTGTCAGCAAGGGACCATCATCCCTGAGGCTAGGTAGCCTTAAGTCCAGTCTGTCAGGAAGATCATCTCCAAAGAGTTCTCCTACGTTTCGGAAACTGCATTCAAGCCGAACGCCAAGAAGAGAAGCTAGAAGTGGAGTTGGTGGCATTCAATGGTTTAGTAGCAACAGATTAGTGTATTGGTTGCTTTTGATTACTCTTTGGGCTTACCTTGGATTTTATGTCCAGTCCAGGTGGGTTCATGGTCATAAAAAGGAGGAATTTTTGGGTTTCAGTGGTGATCCAAGAAATAAACCTGTAGATGCTGAAAAGAATGCACGGCGAGATTTGCTTGCTGATAATAGTTTGGTAGCGATGAATAATGGAACTAATAAAACTCAGGTGTCTAGTGATAGAAAGTTTGATGTGATTTTAGCCAAGAATGGGAAAGAAGTCTCATCTAGGAAGAAAAAGAATAAAAGAGCAAGACGTAATTTACACAAGACACGTGGTAAATCAAAGGCAAAAATGAACATTGAAATTGGTGACACAGAGGATCAGGAACAAGAAATTCCACAAACTAATTCTACTTATGGATTGCTTGTTGGTCCATTTGAAGCAGTGGAGGACAGAGTTCTGGAGTGGAGTCCTGAAAAGCGATCTGGTACATGTGATAGAAAGGGGCATTTTGCACGCCTTGTTTGGTCTAGAAGATTAGTGTTGGTATTTCATGAACTCTCGATGACTGGGGCTCCAATTTCAATGATGGAGTTGGCAACAGAACTTTTGAGCTGTGGAGCTTCTGTATCTGCTGTTGTTCTGAGTAAGAAGGGAGGACTTATGTCTGAGCTTGCAAGGAGAAGGATCAAAGTGATTGAAGACATAGCAGATCTTAGCTTCAAAACTGCCATGAAGGCAGACCTTGTGATTGCAGGATCAGCAGTCTGTGCATCATGGATTGGTGAGAAATTTATAGGCGATTTTTTTAAGTTATTATGCAGATATGATGATCAATCATTAGCTGATATAAGGTTGCAGCATCTTTAGTTAGTCACATATATGGTTGCAGCATTTCTAGAGCTTTAGGTTATCTTGCTCAACTTACATGTGATGTGTTGGTTTCAGATCAATATATTGCACATTTCCCAGCTGGAGGAAGTCAAATTGCTTGGTGGATCATGGAAAATAGAAGAGAGTACTTTGATCGGTCAAAACTTGTTCTAAACCGGGTGAAAATTCTTATTTTCTTATCTGAATTGCAGAGTAGACAGTGGCTTACTTGGTGTCAAGAAGAAAATATTAAGCTGAGATCTCAGCCTACTCTTGTTCCACTTGCTGTTCATGATGAGCTGGCTTTTGTAGCTGGCATTCCTTGTTCTTTAAATACTCCATCAACCATCCCGGAAAATATGTTAGAGAAAAGGCAGTTGTTGCGAGCTGCAGTAAGAAAAGAGATGGGTTTGAAAGATAATGATATGCTTGTGATGTCTCTAAGTAGCATAAATGCTGGAAAGGGCCAGCTCATTCTTCTTGAATCAGCACGCCTCATGATTGATCAATATCCTTTACAAACTGACTCTGAAGTTAAAAAATCATTCAATATTAGGCTAGATCAGTCTACCTTGGCTGTAAAGCATCATTTAAGAGGCAAATTTTCCTCTGTAAACACCACAAATGCTGTTGGTGTCAACAACAGTCACAGAAGGAAGATATTTGATGGAAAAGGAACAGAGGAACAAGCTCTTAAAATTCTTATTGGTTCTGTTGGATCTAAGAGCAATAAGATACCTTATGTTAAAGAAATTCTGAACTTTTTGTCTCAGCATGCAAAGTTGTCTCAGTCTGTACTCTGGACTCCTACAACTACACGGGTTGCCTCACTATATTCTGCAGCAGATGTTTATGTCATGAACTCCCAGGTGATTAATCATTTATCTTGATTAAATTAGCATAATTTACTCTTGTTTATTCTACATTATACAGTAGATCTGAATGTCAATCTTATTAGTTTTCTTACATTCCAGATGGACTATTTTGCATATAATCAGTCCTTTCGTCTGATTAACTCTATATTCCATATAATTAATCTCTTTACTGGTATTATTGGATACGAGTAAAATAGAGAAGTAGCGGTTATTGTTCTTCCATAGATTCATTTATTTGCCTCATCTGATCAATACATTGCTAAAGTTACCCCATGTTACTGTTGATAGTAGAGTTAATGCGAGTAGTGCACATAAAATGTTTTGAATTTTTTATATCATTGTTGTTTCTATATGCAACTGTATGTCAAACTTTTTGAATGAAGGGAAAAGGAAAGCTGTATTCCAACTGCTATGCTGTTGATTAATACAACACACACACGTACACACAAAATTGCTGAAGAGGGAAGTGACAAAAAATAGCAGCATTTTGTCTCATTTGTTATCAGGTTATAAGCTTAGACTCACTCCTCTCATCCCTTGTACCAAAGTTCACAAATAAAATTACAATGTCCAATTTAGTGTACATTTAAAAATTTAAAATGCCTTGGAAGTTTACATGGAACTACTGGTTTGAAATCTCTGCTTTTTATGAGCGTTCTCACAAGTATTATGGTAGGGACCTTTTAGGAACTTTTCATACTTCTGGTAGCCTTTGGTGTAGAATTAACAAGAGGAGAGAAGGCTTGTGCTATTACTAATTGGTATTTATGTGGCATTTCCTTGACTCATTTTTTGATAGATATGAGTGCCTGAGTGGCTTATTTGCTTACTCGATTACATTCCTGAATAATTTAGAACTTGTAGAAACTAGACCCGGAATCTCTTCAACTTCTAAAATAGATCAAGTTATGATGTTTCTCCGTGGCAAATTTATGATGTTATTTTCACAATTTCCTTGGATATTGAATTTTCAAACTCTTGATTCTTGAACCATTTAGGCAGCGCTCAATGTAGATTTCTTCCCAAGTTCTTTCATGCTAAATTTTGCATGTCTTCGATCTGTTGCTAATGGTTTCAATTTATGACTGATGATAATCAAGTTACTAGAACTTGGATAAGGAACACTTCACCAAGTATATATCAGTTTATGAATGAGCTGGTTCAAATAAACTACAAACTAGGAAATTTCGTCACTGTAGCTAGAAACACCCATATGGGTTAGTTGGTGTGGCAGACCTTATCAAAACATCAGTGATTTTGGATTCCTTGTAGCACTTAAGTTGTTTGATTGTTTCATGTTTTTGTTTCTGAGTAGGTGAGGAGAAAACAAATGTGATTTCAACGTATTGATTTTCTTTATGAAAACAACTTATTGGACTGACATTATTGAAACATATAACTCTGGTTAATTATGAATCTTACTTCATATTCTAGTTACATTCAACCTCATACTTATTTCTGAATTTTTAAGATTCTTTTGAGATAAAGGGAAACATGTAAGGATGAAATGTTTACAGGGACTAGGAGAAACATTTGGCAGAGTGACTGTTGAAGCAATGGCATTCGGTCTTCCGGTAAGAAATCAGTAACCTATTCACATTTGTTTATGCCTGCATGTGGCAGTTATTGGACCTTATATTGCTTGCGATAGCATGTGCTTTTTAGGAATATCACCTGCTATGCATTATTCATATATCCAATTATTCTATGGGTTGCATTTCCTGCTGGTATGTAAAGTTTGGTTTATCATATATCCAATAATACCATTTGCCTTCACTATCTTCTTCCGCCTAAACGCCATTAGGAAAGTCTAGCATATACATATGAGATGTGTTGCGGTTCATGGCATTCATCTTGTTTACACTTCATATGTGCGTACGTCATGCAGTTTTTTTATCTGCATGTGTTGTATCCAGAAACTGTAAGCCGCACACTTTTCTTGTTATATTAATTACTGATTTTCCTTTATTTCTATACATGTTTACACAGGTGTTAGGGACTGATGCTGGAGGCACAAAAGAGATAGTTGAGCACAATGTGACGGGGCTTTTGCACCCCATGGGGCACCCGGGGAACCAAGTTCTTGCCGAAAATCTCCGGTTTTTGCTCGAAAACCCATCTGCAAGGAAACAAATGGGGATGGCAGGAAGAAAGAAGGTAGAAGGAAATTACCTGAAGAGGCACATGTACAAGAGATTTGTGGAGGTTCTGACCAAGTGTATGAGAAGCAAATAGCATTCTAGTGTGTCCATTTTGGGTACACCAATTCTCATTATTTAATTGGCTTTCAATTCTTAGTATTTATCCATTACTCGTCACGGACCCCCTTCAATCTGTCATACGATTTCTTTGCTATGCTTTTATCTGCCAGGAAACGCAATATTTCCTTTTGGTTTAGTTTGAAGACTTGAAAGTACATAGTAACAATGTTCAATTTTGTAATCTTTCCAATGGTAAACTCCTTTAATATACATGCAAATTATACGTAGCCTGTTCAGATGCATTTAATATGTGCTGTGGCACTAAAGAAATTAATTGAAGATTTATCAAAATCTCTTTGGAAGATCAAAATCACATGGTTTGATCAATCAATTTTGGGGAAAAAAAACAACAGAAACCATTTCTTAAATTCAAATATTATATATTTTTTATTTGTTAACCATAAATTGTTTATGTATTATGTATAAATTAAAGATTTAACATCAATTTGTTAAATTTAAATTATTTTTTTAGAATTTTAAATTTTAATATGATCAAAATAATAATATTATTGTAATATAGAAATTTAAAACAATTACGTTGATAATCACTATTTAAGTTAATAAATTTAACAATCACTGCTTTAATTCGGATGCTATGGTTGTGAAGGAAAAAAAAGATTTTTTAACCCTGAATTATTAGAATCAGAAGGAATATTGCAATGAAGCTATAGAATAAGAAGTGAGGCAGTAAGAGCCGTGGCATCTACACGGGTGGCAAGAAGCAGAGCATCGACGCAGTCACCAAGTTCTCGGCAACGAGTTCCTCCCCCGATAAATTGGGTAAAGGTTAATACGGATGGAGCAAGAAATCAAAACACAAGGTTGACTATTTATGGAGGTTTGGGACGAGATAACTCTGCCAACTGGAGATTTGGATTTTTTAAAGTCATAGGTTCATGTTTAGCTCTTGAAACGGAATTATAGAGAACTTATGAGAAATTGGTCATTTGTACATATTGTTACATTGATGGAGCGTAATTGGGAAGTGAGACTGAGTTGTGTTAGTGGTGAGTAAAATTATGCTGCAGACTTGAAGGCAAAATTGACGTGGAGAAAGTTTTGCAAAAGAAATATGGAGTTGTGTAGCATCTTTAAGCCGTCAGTGAAGTTGTGGCAAAATGGCAATTTTATTTGACTTGAAGTCAAGAAGAATCCCACCGGACAGTTATCGAAAGATATTCCCTCCTCATCGCCTTGTTGAACGATCGTGATGGCATCATCCTCTAAATTTAATTCTGCCAGCTTCCGTTTCGGATCTCCCATGATTTGCTCCCGCACACTATATCTCCTTTTGTTGATCAAAACGATTGAATTGCTATCAAATATTAGTATAGAATCTTTGACCTTAAGGCAAAAACCTTAGGAACAGCACAACTTTTTGCCGTTAGCCGTTAGGATTTAGTGCTTGAGCAATTTTTTGTATACGTGAAGTTCCCCCCCCCCTTTCCTGTTTAGCTATTGGAGGCTTTGCTGAAAAGCAACTGTTAATGAAGCTGAATTCTGATTTGCTTGTTCGTAAAAGTGATGGTACACTTTGCTGATAATTCATTTGTATCATCAGAGAGAAAATTATAGAAATGTCAATTTCATGACATGCTATTTTAGTAAATTTTCTTTCCTCTTCTTAACTTTGTTAGATTTGATTACAAGGCTTGGACGCCTACAAGATGTCGCCAATCACTACTGGGGTTTGCTCACCATGAATCCGGGCAACCACAGGTGGATCTTATGCCGTCCGTATCTCATTTATAAGTCCTATTTGAACTCATTTAAATAGTGAGAATTCTAGGTATTTAAAATTCTACTTTCAGCCCTTAAAAGTTGACATCGGTGGCAGCATCACAAATTCAAGAGCGAAAGTGGATAGTTGACATGGAAGAATCATAAATTCAAGAGCTAATTCTTCTGTAAGAACTCTAGGTGGTCAAAATTCTTCTGTCAACCCTTAGAAGTTGACATGGCTGCATCACGAATGCAAGAGCTAATTCTTTTTATTAAGGACTATCTTTTGTTTTTTTGTTTTTTTTGTTCCTTGAGTTGAGCTGGAATTTCTTATATAAAACTTCTTAGGTTGGGCACATGACCATGAAATGACATGGCCTCCTTACTGCATGATTGAAATAAAGTAACAATTACTCAATTTTGGGACTTTTAGAATTTAGCTTTCACAGTGAGGATATAAGTGGATAGTTTTCTTCCTGTAAACCTACATTTATTATGTATTAATGCATGAGATATGAATTTGTTGTTGTGACATCATGCAATGCCTACTTTCTTTACTTTTTGTTTGATGAATTTTCTTGAATTTTAGAGGATACCTCTTGATTTTTTGTAAGGAGACAAGTTCCGTGAAGCAGCCGTTAATTATATTAAGCCTCTTCTAACAAAGGTATATATGCAATAGGATTTTTACTGGTGTTTATACTTTGTTGGGTAAAAAAAATGAACTTTTTCTGTGCCCTCAGGGTGTTTTATCTTTATTCTCAGATCTTTCTCCTTTGTATGATCACCCTAGAAAGGTAAGTTTCTTTGAATTTAGAAATATAATTAAGTTTTTAAATATTAATTATCCCACACCACTTGTCAACTGGTTGGGTGCACGATGTTAAGATTATTTTTCTTGCATTGTTGACGCTATACAGGCAGACATATTAGAGCAACTTATTCTTGAGCGGGAGCATTCATGTAGTACAAACATGAGATAATGCCACACCAATAGATCTGTTAAATGTTCATATTATTTAATGCCACACCAAAAGGAATCTAATGTATTATCCAACTTTTTAAATATTCATATTAGAGACCTATGATGCAATTAACTCATATTAATTTAATATTGGCAGTCATAAGTTAAATGGAAAGACGTAAATCGATAAAGAATTACCGATAAAAAGACTTTGCGATCGAAGTGGGCCAAATGGCCGAACTGAGACCCATTTATATATATATTTTTTCATTTCAAATTCCCGCCAAAACACCCCTCTAATACTTTTTAACTTTTTCCTCTTCGTTTAGGCTTCATTCAAATCCTCCCCCATCTTTTTTCAACCCATTAAGCTCCAGCAACTTGACTCAGTAGCCCTTCATTTCACAGTAGGGGATGGAAGCGGCGGATCAGTTCGCAACTCGCGAAACAGAGCAGGCCCGAGTGGGATCTCGAGGCCCGAGATTAGTAATTAACGAAATGGTGATGAGGAACTTCAAGTCTTATGCCGGTGAACAGCGCGTCGGTCCTTTTCACAAGGTTAGAGTTTTTTTTTATTCTTTACTCTCTTTTTTTTTTGCAGTTTTTGTTTGGTTTCTGGGGAAGTGTCGGTAATGGCGTTAGGGAAATTCAAAATTGCACAATTTTCACTCGAATTACAGTTTTATTTCTCATTTTTATTACCGTTTAGCTGTTTCCCTTTGGTTATTGAGAAAGTACTTGAAATCGAGAAGGAAAATTGCAGATTGATATTAATAATTTTGAAATTTATAGCCTATTTTAGTTTTTCTTAAAATAATTCAATGTTGAGCGCAAGCTTTTAATCCTTTTGTTATTAATCTAAGTCCTGCTTAGTTGCGGAGGAAAAAAATGAAATGAGAAACAAAATCAAATTGATATGATAATTGCACGAACTGAACTTGAGATAGTTTATTTATTTATTTATTTATTTTTGTTATTAGCACAATGGAAAATTGAGAAGAAAGTTGCTAGAGTATATGATAAGTTCAAAAATATAATTCAAATTTTGGCTTCTTTCAAATGATTTGCTTTCGCATTTCAAGTCTTAGTTCCAGTCTAGTTTCTTCACTGTAATTGTTTAGTAAGCCAAAAAAACTGTTGGTTCCTTTTTAGGAAATTAAAATCTCTTTCACTAGCTATCGGGTTGAAATCTTTTTATATTTTTTTCCGATGAAATTTAGAGTTTTTCTGCTGTGGTTGGGCCAAATGGAAGTGGTAAGAGCAATGTGATAGATGCCATGCTTTTTGTATTTGGGAAGAGAGCAAAGCAGGTAACTTTTATAGCTACTGTTCTATAATTTTGGTATTTATCTTCTTTTTTGCTCTTATGTAGTTATAATGGCCCTTCTAAATTCTAATAATATATCTAGCAATAACTTTTGATGGTTTCCCTTTCTCTAAATTCTTTTGTGCTTGATTTTGCTGATCTAACTGTGCAGATGCGGCTTAATAAAGTTTCGGAGCTTATTCACAATTCAACTAATCATCAGAATCTTACTAGTGCTGGTGTTTCTGTTCATTTCCAGGAGATTATTGATATGGTGCGTCTTTTGCATCTGGTTTTTTTCTGGATTTTGGGGGTAGCTTTTTAGCTTATTGTCTAAACGGGTATAAGCAGAGGTTTTGAGAAGTTAAATGCAGCAAATTATTTTATCCGAGCATAAAATGCCTAAAGCCTTGAGTTTTAGCTCATTGAATTCACTGTTATATGCCCAAATAACATGGAACTTTAAAGTCTTTTGAGGTGGTGATACTCTGGAACGATATCTCTATTGACTGCAGGATGATGGGGCTTATGAAGCTGTTCCAGAAAGTGAATTTGTTATTACACGGGTTGCTTTTCGGGATAACTCCTCCAAATATTACATCAATAACCGTGCTAGTAACTTTACTGAAGTTACAAAGAAATTGAAAGGGAAAGGAGTTGATCTTGACAATAATCGGTTTCTTATTCTTCAGGTTCAATATAATTGAAAGGTTATGTATTTAGAAATTTCAAAATCTTTTTCTACTTCTCTTCATGTTTTACTGGTTATTACAGGGTGAGGTTGAGCAAATTTCACTCATGAAGCCAAAAGCACAAGGACCTCACGATGAAGGTTTCCTCGAATATTTGGAGGACATAATAGGAACAAACAAATATGTTGAAAAGATTGAGGAATCATCTAAGGAGTGAGTAGTTTTTCTGCGCACTTAGTTGAGGTTTATCTTGTTACTATCTTCTCCACCCTATTCCAGTTAAACTTGGATTCTGCATGCATACGGAAATTAGTTCACAAAATGTCCTTGCTGTTTCTCACATGAGTATTTAAGACCGTTTAGCCTGTATTTGATCACCTTATTCTTGCTAGCTATCAAGATGGTCCACCATAGTGAATGGATTATCAGCAGTTAACACTATTTCATGTTGTTTTCCTTTTTGCTGCTAGGTTAGAAAGTCTCAACGAAAAACGATCAGGTGTTGTGCAAATGGTTAAATTATCAGAGAAAGAAAGAGATAGCTTGGAGGTTTGTTAATGATGCTATTTCCCCCTTTTCAAGATTGATACAATCTATAAAATGCGTCCTTAAACTGATATATTTTCTATGCAATAGGATGTTAAGAATGAGGCAGAAACTTACATGTTGAAAGAGCTTTCTCTCTTGAAATGGCAAGAGAAAGCTGCAAAATTGGCTCATGAAGATACCAATACAAAAATGAACGAACTACAGGAAAACTTGTCCAACTTAGAAGAAAATTTGAAGAATAAAAGGTTCTGTTTAAGATGCGCATTCAGTTCTCATGCCTACACATAAATACGCAATGGGATTTACAGTTGTGATATTTGACTTCAGAGAGGAGATTAAGGGAAACAGTAACAGGTTGAAGGAGCTTGAGTCTGTGCACAACACTCACCTGACAAGAAAAGAGGCTTGCGTTTAATTGGTGTATTATTATGGAAATACTTTAACTTGATGATTATTAGACAGCTGTGTATGTGATGATTATGTTAGCCTTATCAGTCAGGATTGGCTTATTAAAACGATTAACTAAATGGTTTTTGTTGTAAATAATTAGGAACTTGATAATGATTTGAGAATTTGTAAGGAAGAATTCAAGGAGTTTGAAAGGCAGGATGTCAAATACAGGGAAGATTTGAAGCATATGAAATAGAAGCTGAAGAAGCTAGAGGATAAACTTGAAAAGGTACTTGAAATAACTGACTTAAATTATGTTCTTGGCTTCATGAGTACATCTCACTTTGCCTCGCATTCCAGGATTCATTAAAAATTGAGGATGCGACAAAGGACTGCGAAAAATCAAAAAATCTTATCCCAAAACTCGAGGAGAACATTCCAAAGCTTCAAAAGATTTTTCTTGATGAGGAGAAAGTCCTAGAAGAAATGAAAGAGAACTCTAAAGGTAATATGATCTCCTTGGTCTCTTATTTAGAAATTTCATTAGGCTGTGGGAATAAAGTAGACGTTCCTTCCTTATTAAAAATGGAGCAATCTTATTTAGTTAGAAATAATGTTTTAGTTCTTTTGAGCTCTTGGTGATTTGTAATCTAGCTAACTGCTTTTTTTGATTGCTTGATGAGTAGTTGAAGCTGAGAAATATCGCTCTGAGCTTTCGAAGGTTCGTGCTGAACTAGAACCTTGGGAGAAAGAGTTGATTATGCATAAGGGAAAACTTGAAGTTGCTCAGACTGAACGTAACCTTCTAACTCAAAAGGTGTGCCATAATATTGCTATTCACTTGCTAACTAGCTTGATAAATCTATGAGCTTTTAACTTATCTTTCTCCCGTCAATTTTTTATAGTTATTGCATTTTTTCCTTCTCTTCGTTAGGTTGGAATGGGAGTCAAATGTGTCGTAACTGGTTTTCGTCCGGGCACGAAATATTCATTTGGCGGTGAAATTGATGTGAATAAATGGTTTTGAAAATAATTTAGGAGTCGCCATCGGCCTTTTGGGTCAGGTAGGTCGAATACCTAAAAAATATCTTTTAAAAGAGTTTTTAAGAAAACATCAATTAAAAGATAAACTGATCTGCGTTTTAACCAAAAATTCGTTCTTTTTAATAATAAAAAGGGATTCGTGGTCGGTTACGTTTAGGGAAGGATTAGCACCCCTACAACGCCCAAAATTGGTACTTTTTAATTATAAATTGTCTCTATTATTAGAAATTAAAAATTCAAAATGTATTTAATTCATAATCCTATTTGATTTAAATTTATTATTATAATTTTAAGAAAATATATTAATATATCTTTATTTATTTACTCAGAAATATCAGAAAAGGGCTTCTAGTTGCTTTAAGACAGCTCCTTTCTTAATATTAATAAATAAATACATATCAAAATATGTTTATTTTTCTTAAAAGTAGTTTATAAAATTAAATTTATAAATAGGATTTTTATTTAATAAACAAATAGAATAAATAAATATTATATATTTATATAACTTAATAATAAAAATAAAATAATCATGAAGATAATAATTTAAACATACATCAAAAGTAATAACAAAATAAAATAATAATAATTAAAATGAAAGAAAATAAAAGTAATAACATTAAAACTATTGGATCATATTCATAAATATATGAACTTAAAATGTAAAAATAATAAAACTTATGGTTAAAATTAAGATTATATATAATTTAATGATCAAATTATAAAATATAAATATGTAAGAGACATGGTTAGAGTTATCATAAAATATAAATATTAGTAGTGTAATTAGCCATTAATTATTTAATCAGTGATTAAAATAGTAATATTAAAATTATTAGGGACTAAATGTGATATTTATCATAAATATATTATTTAATACTTGTAAGGACTAAAACATAATAAAATAAAATTCAAAGACTGAATTAAAATGTTCAGAAATTAATTTCAGTGACTAAAATGAATAATTATAAAACTTGGATGGCTACGGAAATGGTTTAGCCATGCGCGAAATTACAGATATACCCTCCCCAAAACGACGTCGTTTGGGAGAGGGTATAAGTATCCGAAACCAGCTGGCCCGAAGGGCCAACCCCTCATTTTTTTCTCTCCTCTCTCTCTAACTGAGAGAGTAAATATTCTCTCTCGCCTCTCTCTTCAAATCCCTCATCGGAGGGATTAGAGTTCTGGCCGGCCACCGTGCTCCGGTGCCGACCACCGCCGCCGGCCACCGCTCTCGGTGGTCGGGAAATTTTAATTTTTTACCAAAACATAGATCGGGCCGTCCTAATGACGGATCCGGTGACCGTTTTCCTTAAAAAGCTCCTGATCGGAGCAAATCCGTGAAAATACCTTCGGGTTTTGGTTGTTTCCGGCGACGGTTGGGGTTCTTTGATGACAAAGTAAGTTTCCTTTCTTCTCTTCTCTCTTTTTTCTTTTTTTTTTTTTGTTCTGGACGTTGGTTGCTGTTCGTATCTCTCCCTGTTTTTTTTGTTCTGTTTTGTTTGTTGTCGTTCTCTGCCGTCTGTTTCTTTGTTGTTCTACGTTGCTCCTCTTTTTTTTTTTTTCTTGCAGGTGTGGTGGCTTTTATAGCCACCACCGAGGCTCTCGTCGGACCGGTTACAAGGGTGTAAGGCTCGGTGAGTCACCAAAGCTATGCTAGTGACTCACCATAGAGCCGACGTGTGCGGCTGTTATCATGGCAGCAAAGCTTCTGGAGGCTTCTGGCGAGGGCATCGGCAGCTGGAACGTCTGGAAGCAACGGCGGCGGCCGTGTGGTCCCTAGGGTTATGATACCCTAGGGTTTCAAGCTGGATAGTTTTGGACCGTTGGATCTTGCCAGATCCAACGGTGGAGATCACTGGCGGCTGGGGCATGAGATGAGAAACCCTAGTTGGGTTTTAGGGTTTACGTTGGGCTTCTGTATCTGGGCCTGAGTTATTGTAATTGGGCTTTGTAATATTTAATAAATAATATATAATAATTATAATAATAATACTAATAATAATAATTTTAATAATAATAAATTTAAATGAAAAAAATTGATGTCTACAGTTGCCCCTCTTTGCTTATTCTTGTGTTAACAAGAATAGAGCAAAGACGAAAGAGACAATAATTTTTTCATTTGGCTTCTTTTGAGTAGGATGGAAATGTTTGAAAACATCATGCACTGAAGGGCTTACAGATGACCCGAAGGCTTTGAAAACATCAAAAAGCTCCCGAAGGCTTTTTGGAAACATCATGCACTGAAGGACTTACAGATGACCCGAAGGCTTTGAAAACATCAAAAAGCTCCCGAAGGCTTTTTGGAAACATCATGCACTGAAGGACTTACAGATGACCCGAAGGCTTTGAAAACATCAAAAAGCTCCCGAAGGCTTTTTGGAAACATCATGCACTGAAGGACTTACAGATGACCCGAAGGCTTTGAAAACATCAAAAAGCTCCCGAAGGCTTTTTGGAAACATCATGCACTGAAGGACTTACAGATGACCCGAAGGCTTTGAAAACATCAAAAAGCTCCCGAAGGCTTTTTGGAAACATCATGCACTGAAGGACTTACAGATGACCCGAAGGATTTGAAAATATCAAAAAGCTCCCGAAGGCTTTTTGGAAACATCATGCACTGAAGGACTTACAGATGACCCGAAGGATTTGAAAATATCAAAAAGCTTCCGAAGGCTTTTTGGAAACATCATGCACTGAAGGACTTACAGATGACCCGAAGGCTTTGAAAACATCAAAAAGCTCCCGAAGGCTTTTTGGAAACATCATGCACTGAAGGACTTACAGATGACCCGAAGGATTTGAAAATATCAAAAAGCTTCCGAAGGCTTTTTTGGAAACATCATGCACTGAAGGACTTACAGATGTGGGAAATAGTTTACTAAGTAAGAAACTATGGAAATTGTTTTCTTACTATTCAACAATTTCATTTTCAGAAAAGATTGAATGAGAAACTATGGAAATCGTTTTCTCATTATTTTTCAAAATAACATGTTGATTGGGTAACATGACCCAATCTCAAAATAATGCTCATTTTTGTGGATTACGTTCATCTATTCTTCAGATGTTTACGTGATTCCTGTATTTGTGGTTTTGAATACCTTCTTCTTGTAAGGTATTTCTTACCATGAATCTTCTTGTTCTTCCGAAGATCTCTGGATATCAATGTAGCAACTTATGCTATCAAGCTTGCATTTCTGCAGAATCATCTGATCAACTTGTATCTTTACTGTCTTCTTTGCTTCATGAAGGTCTCAGAAGAAATGTTTCATTTGTGGAACTCTTGTCGTAGTCAAAATTATGACCCTGATGCCCCATTTTGTCTTGGATAAAACCAACTTTATTTGCTTGGACTTGTGTAGAAATCCCATAAAGCTTTCATCTTTGAAAAGAGAATATATCATCTTTAAAAAGAGAATCTATCATCTTTGAAGAGTGTAGATGTATATATGCCTGACTCAGCAGGGATTAATTAGGAGAGTAGAGCCTGTTCTAATTTGACTCTTGAAACATATCACAAGGAAGATCTATTCCAATTCCTTTCATGTCTCCACATATAATCAGATCTCGAATAAGGCAACTGGGACCATATCATGTCAAGATGCTTAACAACAACTTGTCGTTCAACCTTAGTTGGCTCCACTAGTTTCTTGTTGTCAAAATTTTCATCTCTCCTTCTGTGGAAAGAAGTCTTCATTTCACTTTTAATCTTGAAGTTGAAGAAGACAAAATTCATCTTGGGTCAATAAATGGAAACCATATGATTGCAACACTAGTTCAACACCATAATCACTGGTTCATAAAACATTTGACAACACATTCATCATCTCGTAGCTTCCACTCAGATGTTCGTAAAACATTTGACAACACATTCATCCTTTCCTGTGGCTTCTGCCCGGATTTCTGGTCAATGATGCTTTTGTATGATGTCACAAGACCACTTGAGAACAAAACTCAGTGGGAATACAAATGAGATATTGGTATGGCCAAAAAGTTGCTCAAATCCACAAGATATGCTAGTATCGAATTGAATAAGAGATACCAACTGATCTTGATATCATCTCGGGCAAGGGCAAGTGTGATACTGATCATGTTTTCTTCTGTAATGAGCATTGTAGAAAATAGAAACACTTCAGCTATAGGATCCATGTACGGAAGGGAGTTCATGGAATTCTTGCTGTTGGAGATGAAATGCACATGATAAAACCAAAATAGATGAAAAATCAGTTCACCCTGGCTGGCAATGATAACCCCAGTAATAACGGGAATAACAGTAATATAAGTGAGTCGAGTCTCCATTTTCAATGTCATCAAGTAAGCAAAAATTGATGTGAAAAACAGCTTCATAACCTCAATAGTATGATTGAAACTAACTGTCAGGAATCTCAAAAAGCTATTTTCAATCATCACCAACACACATAATGCAAAATTCAAAGCTGAGATCTTGAGGAACTGAACCCTGGATCAAATAATCTTCCTGGGGACCATCTTTATTCATGCAACCATGATGTATCTTAACAAAGAACACACTGTCATGTGATACATGATTTAAGAAGATTGGGTATTTGAAACCATACTTGCTGAGTAGATATTTGTTCAACAACATGACCCTAATGCAACTGCCTGATGAACGAAGCAATTATGTGTAGTTAGCTCAACTGCCACTGTTTTACCATTTTCATTCTTCATATCTTTCTGTCTCATTGGAAATATTTGTTCAAGTTAATGATCTTTACATAGGATATTGTGGGCCTTCAGCATACCCCAACATTG